ATAGTGCAATGATAACAAAACTTATTCTGATTCTGAAATAATGTAAATTGAACGTGAGTTCTTTTCGCGTGTTTAAAGAATATCAAATCAATTAATACACACAGATAAGCCAATATATATATATATATATATATTTACACCCCATATCGCTACATATTAATGGTGCGCCATGTGAGGCTTTGGAGTTTTTCTTAAAAGTGAAACTTACTGTCTGTGCTAAAACAGATAGGATTGGTCCACCTCGGGAAGAGGTGGTCCTAACTCTTGTCCTTGTTTTATAAATTTAAAGCCCTTTTCTGCCTCGAATGTTTCCTTTTAAAAGAGAAAATAAGACAAATGTATTATCTTAAAGAAAGATTACTTAAAACACACATTCTCATGAATAAACATCCAAAATGTGAATGTAATGAAAAAAAAATACATATTTAGAATTAAACTTAAAACATGCAATGTTTAAACAGAGGTGTCGCTGTTGCCTGACCATCTCCTGAAAAGGGAATGTCATTAGGACATACAATGGACTCCTTATTGTACCATCTTCATGGAAACCAGTCTGGGAGTAATACGTTTCGATAAGGCAAGATATCAACGTAGCAAATTCGGATGTTTAGAAACGCCAAGGTTAGTTTAGCAAAAGCTCTAATTAAAAACGATCTGTTTGTTGCATACAAAGGCCTTGGGTTATTAAGTTCATATTGTTAGGTGAGGTTAATACAATAACAGTTTTTTAAAAATTACATTATAATTATTATTACATTGTCAACTTAGGAAGTTTGTGAGCTAAGCTGAATATTTGTAAAGTGATGTCTGTTCGTTCCCAAAGGAATAGATGAATCTTATTTTAACAGCTTCAAGCACAAAATACAGTATTGTTTCTCAAGATGAGGTGATCGCTTTCTGAGGTGAGGTGTTCCCCTACAGAGGACTCCAGAAACCATCTGAGCACCATCAAACTGGTTCATTCACTATGTGATGGTGCTGTTTATAAGACTGAGTTCGTTGTGGCTACTCGGACTGATCAAGTCTTTTGAAGAAAAGACACAACATTTCAACAAAAAGAAACCGTCCAGAGGACCTGAGTCAACTTTGCTGGAAAAACAAGTTTATTGCCTTTAGTTGCACGTTACCTAGCCAGGGGTGGTAAGTTGGTAACTATTGAAATGATTTTCTGTCTGTTGTACACCAAAAAGCAATAATAAGTCTGTGTGATACATTTAAATACTTTAAGCATTTTGCACTTGGATAGAAACATTTTCATGAATGCATATGCAACAGGGCCAAAGGCAAAGATCACTGTGTCAACACCTTTAAGGCGCTGAATTAGCGCTGCGCTTGGATAACGAACTCAGTCACAAAATTATGCAAACATTGACTTTACCAGAGGCACAAAACTTATGTGAATATGCCCCATAACTTCACTTGCCTTCTGTGGGTTAGTCAGCATCGTCAACAACAGTTTCAGTGTAAAGACAGCAGATTAACGACCTAAAGCCATGTGATTCGAAGCAGATGTCTATCGGCATGACCGAATCCACATAAATTAACCAGATCAATTATCACAGGGCTTGTCATGTATATAAAAGAACATGGTCCATTCTTGACACTGAGAGGTCTCTGCTAATTGTGGCACACCAAAACAATAGTCTGTCTCGCAGGAAGTGCATTTAAAATACGTTTAGCGATCTTTAGAACGGCTTAATGTGCTTGGCCTCTTTGGCTCATCAAGCTGAGTGATCAGAGAATAAACGGGGGCAAGCTGAAGGCTAAAATATCTTTTATACATTCACCATGTTATTCAGTTTCCTCTTTTGTGGGATGCAAATTAGCTTGAGTGTTTCAATTAATTATTCTCAATAATCTCTTTAAAGAGCATGTGTGTAGAAGTGTCATGGCATTTGGTCAAACACCTGCACATGCTGTTCATACACAACATAAAAGAACTAAAACTGATGTAAATGACCACAAACAATCTTTATAAATCGACTTTGAAAGGGGATGTGAGGGACTGAGTGGTAAGTGGAAAAAAAAAATCCCAACATAAAATACCTCAAAGATCTGGTTATAAAATATTCAACACTGAATATAAATCATTGGAGATTTTATTTAAATAATCTAAAGTGCAATATAATTGGTAAGGTTAAAATATTATATGAGTACAGAACTGTACAATATCTTTAGCAGTTACAAAGTTTAATTTACACCGGTTTGTGTAAAAATAGTGGTTTGCTGCGCTTTATACGAGTCCAATTGTAAAAAGGCACCTCAAACAGTAAAACCAATAAGTAAAAAAAAAAAAAAGTCAAGAAGCTCTACACACAAGTGAAGTTTGTGAGAAGTACAAGTACAAGTAAGTACAAGTAAAAGCTAATTATTTGTTAGAGAGCCACTAAAACAGAACACTATGTTTTAGTGGCGCTCTATAAATAGAAAGTAAAAAAAGTTGTGATTGTTCTGGGTTATTTGAACATTAAAGATGCTTTGATACAAAGTTTGAGAGCTGCAGTCAGAACTATACAAGGTTCTGGAAATGACGTCCTAAACCTAGATCCCCAGCTCGCAATTCTGTGGCCTAAATATCGCTTTGTATTTGGCTCCATAGTAATGATCAACAGTTTTGTATCCCCTGCAGCCTTCAAGCTTGTGTTTACCACCTCGCTCCCAGCTCCTCAGCATTCATTATGTCATGTAAAATTAACAAGGAAAGCTCCAGTCACAGCTGCTGCTAACTCAGCTGACACAATGCCTCTGTCAGTGGGGAAAAACCAACAAATAAAAGAAAAAATGTGGTTGATGTTTCTCAGATTTGTAAAAATGTATTATGCGTATGAGTAGATATGTATGAGTCAATATTTATGTGTAAAAATTAGGAATGCACCGATCCACTTATTTTTACTTCCAATCCGATTCCAATACCTAAATCTGGATATCGGCTGATACCAACACAGACATGTTCCTTTAGTATTTTACAATGCTTTATAATGTAGCTGTTTATGTTTCTTTACACACACATGCACACACACACACACACACACATATATATATATATATATATATATATACTTGTATCTTTCACTACATATGCTTTTTTATGATAGTCTACTGTTGTACTGATAAATACCTCCTGGAGGGTAAACTATATCTTGGTTGCAAGTATTCAATCAAGTTGCGAATTCTTAGTTTTCTCCAAATGATGGCGGTTGCTCATTAATTACGATAAAGTTTAGCAACTTCTCGGTAAACATTTGAGCTCCGTGGCTTCACTGGTGTGTTCTTCTCGTTCAGTCTGAAGCATGCAATCTGATTTCGGTCAGCTGCGCTCAGTCTGCCCCTCCTCGGAGACAGGCAGACTGAGCAGGGAGGATTGGGCGCGGCTTGCCGGGTTCGGGCTGCCTGCTCGTTGTAGCTGCCTGCAAACTATGAAATGGATTTCCTGAATGTGAGGCGGGTCTAATTACTCTGGGTTTCATGACACACTCCTCCATTCAGGAAATCCTTTCCGTAGTTTGAAGCAACATGCAGAGCAGCCGGCAGGGAATCGCATGAGGAGAAGTTTCAGAAGACACATGCATCATGGATCGGAAATCTCTGCAGGTTGGATCGGAAAAATCCGATACATTAATTACGCTGGTATCGGAGCCCGATACCGGATCGGATCGGCCATATCCCTAATAAAAAAACAAAGTACTGTACCACAAAGTTTGTTTTCTCAGTCATCCAGGTATATAACAACAAAAAAGGTTGAATCATGTCATCTGGACATGTACCAAAGTACTGTACCATTTAAGGTAATGTATTACACTTAAATATTCCTTTATATATATATATATATATATATATATATATATATATATATATATATTCCTTATATATTACATTATTATTATTTTACAATTTATAATTTGTTGGATGTAACTGGGACCCTGTGTACACAATTTCATACTACCACATGAGAGTTGCTATTTTTGGCTTTTTGGCTTTTGGCTAGCATTTTGCTACATTTAACTTTTAGCAAAGTCATTCAGAATTCAGCCATCAGACTACATTTTCCCAGAACTTGTAATTTCCCTGGCTTTTATTATATGTTTTTTTTTTTTGTTTCACTTAACCTCTCAACCTACGTATTTCCATTTCTTAACATTCTCCCACCTAAGTTTTCTCCTTGGATGTATTTTTCTTCTTGACTATTTTAATCTGTCCTTTCTGTCTCTTTAATCCATCTTTTTTTCTTCTCTTTTACAGTGAGTCAAGACATTACAGAGGAGCTCTCCTCTCAGTCTTTATTGATTCCCAGCTCTGCTTACTAAAATCAATAAATCACGAATTCGATCAAAATGGAGACTGGAGGGGAGAAGCAAAAGGAGAGGATCGAAGATAGGAGAGAAACTGGATTCAAGCACAAAAATGATCTATAAATGGTTCTGTGACAGCCTTTTGCATAAAGGAAATGAATGAATTGAGGAGTTGTAACTGTATAGGTGAATGAAGGTTTATAAAAACTTTTATTTTGTTGCCAACACAAAGTCATCTCGGAGTTGAGGGATTCACGATGCACTTGGGAGCAGTAAAAGAAAATAGACCACAGTGTAAAAGAACCTTGATGTGTGCGTGTAAAGTGCTCTGATCCTTATTGACTAGCCCGAGGAAATGGTTTTTCTTGATTGAGGAGATTGTGCTGTGCCAGAGAGAGAAGACGGGTCATGATGGAGCAATCAGAGCCAGACTATCTCTCTCAGTTACTGTAATTTCATACAGACCCTCCTGCACACACATCGTTTAGCAAACAGATAACGTTGTCTGGCATCATTAACTTGGCATATTTCTAATTCAGACAGATTAAGGGTGCTGCTTCCATCGCCACTGTATAAATCTGTTTGCTGGTTGTGTAGTTTAGGAGCTGTTGCCAATGGGATTTATGTGCACTGAACAAAATGCCAACTGGAACTGCAAACATAAAAGTACATTGCGGCTGAATTAAGCCAAAGAGTTGGCTTGACCCTTACCTCCCAAGTGATAGGTTCCTCCTGTGGTGATGCTGAGAGGTGAGGCAGAACGCATGGCGGACACCTCCTCTCCATCTACAGTCAGCATGGCAAAGTTCTCCTTGGCAACCAAACGCACAGCATGCCACTGGCCATCATTGAGACCAGAACCTGAAGGGTGCAGGGGTTGAAGAACAGAACAAAGATGTGTTTTTACTTCATTTTGAGGAATTAGAAAGTTCACCTTGGCATGAAAATTTCAAGTGACTATTGCACAATATTAATTTGCATGCACATTTTCTATCAGGTGGAAACCTTTTGTAAAGAAACTCATTCATGCACCTATGGAATTCAGTAGCCTAGACAAAAGTATGCTCTAGACAAAGCAGAACATGGTTGGCAAGTCAGATTAAGATCTACCATGGCTGAGTGGCTCAAGATGAGTATAGTATGCAGGCAGTTTGGTGCTATGTCTTGTCACCATTGTATGGTCCAATAAAATGACGAAATTGGTTCTCTGCATTTAACCCATCACACCTGGGATACACCCATGTGGAGAAGGGCAGCTATCGAGTACCTGGAGAGTAATTAGGGATTAGGTGTCTTGCTCAGAGACACCATATGTGGGAATAACTGGGAATCGAGCCGCGACTTTCTGGTCCCAAGTCGGCTGCCCTACCTCTGCCCCACCTCCCCCCCCCCCCCCCCTGTTTATGTAAACATGACTTTTTTAATCTAGGATCATTTAGCTTAAATGTTTTTTTCCAACAAAGAAACCTTTGTTTGTCTGATCAATGCAAGTCCAACAGACTTCTCACTCAGTCATTCACTTCAATGACAAAACACTTCCAAGCTGTGCCTACAATGCCTTCTTCTGCCCTTATATGATGTCCGTAAAAATTAAGAGGCATAGGAGAGATGAAATCAGGGTTGCACCTTTTAACTGCCAAAGAAGGTAGTCACAGAACGGAAACAGTTGGTAGGTGGAAGGTGTGGCTCATGATGACAATCGGTCTGTGCATTCAGCCAGCTGTGGATATTTGAATGAGAGATTTGAGGCACATATTTTATGTGTCGAGTCAACGCTGCTGAGTTGTGTATAAATCCTCCTGTGGTTCATCAATGCTGGTTTCATTTGTGTACGCTCACCGTGTCACAAGATGGTGTATGTCCTTTTGTGAACAAGAAGTTGCTTTAAACGGAGCTTGTCTTTGGATCCATATCTCAGAACCTTGTTATGAAAAGGCCTACATTTCACGCCAGTGACCATTACATTTTCCTGCTTTCCATCTTCGTTGTCTCACTCATTCTGCAGTCATTTCCTCCCAGCCTATGACCCCCTCCAGTCTCAAGGCTCCTGCTTCTGTATTCTGTTTCTTCCTTTGTACGCCATTGTGTCTCTGGGTGTGTGTTTGGCGAATCCCAGTTATGTCTTCTCCTTTCCCTCCCTTCCCTTGTAGCTGTCCATTAAATATGAGTGATGTTTTGGAAAGGGACATTATTACTGGGGCTGAAAGAGAAGCCAGCTCACTCCCATCACCCTCTCTTCTATAGATCACCCTCTCACTGACACCAGGCTCAATTCATTCTACCATCCTTGCCTGCGTCTTTGCACCTCTGTCTTTATTTCCGTCCCTGTGTCTCTGCATTTAACACATTTCTTTTTTTTTTTCTAAGTGTCTCCATACTAATCTCCATTTGTGCCCATCTGGTACAGTGCATATCCTTCTCGGTTGGGTTTAATTCACTGCTTCACTGGCTGTTATACGTCAATAGTGAGGACACTGCAGCAAAGTTCAAGGTACGGTCATCTGCAAATCAGTTTCGGCAGAGTGGATCTGCTTGCCAGTCATTATACAAGATTATGTCAATACATCTGAACCATATACGTTACAGCAAGCTATTGTTAGTTCATTTGCTTTTTTTTGTCAGTGTCTTTGCAGGTCTTCAGTTCCTACAGTTGTCTTGTACTTATTTATACCCAGAATGCATTTGACGACCTTTGCTTTCACATCAGTAGGGAGTTTACACTAATCAGTGTTGCACAACAGGGTGGCTAACAGTGCATGTGTATGTGAGATCAGATGGTGACCAAAGAAATTAAGAGCCAAAATAATCACTTGCTGAGAGTGTGACAAGTGCAGAAATGTTCAGGGTGTTGCTGATTTTATATACATACATACACAAGAATACACACAACCCAGTGCATTCACTATTTATTCTTTTAGCTGTGAGAAAAACATGCAACAACTTTACTTTATTTGTTTATTAAATTGATATGGGCCATCATATATTGACAGAAATATGTAATTCAATATATGTTTTACTATTCAGGGAATGCTAGAGCTTGAATTTATACAGCATTAAAATAAGGGCGTGCCTACGAATCCAAACCAGCAGCCTTCTTTCCCAGCAAACGTGCTTTATAAATTGGTCCCATACGTTTCTTCCAAGAACACCCCTGCAGGCTACTCTAACAAAGTGGAACTTCCTGAACGTGGGGATATACAGGCCGTGGCGGAGCACAATTTCGGATGGGCATAACTTTGTGAGAAATATGAGTTCTAATTTTTGACCGAACAGCAGGAGTCAGCCCTTCACAGCAAGACTGAAAACGTGAGCTGCCAGCCGCTGTGCAGACAGGTGAAATGGATCCGTTGCATCTCTCTTTATCTACGGGTTGGTGCTCTTGTCAGTTTCAAAGCGTCCAACTGAAACGCTGCGGTTGGTAAAATTTTTCTTTTCTTTTCTTTTTATGATCTTATTTCAGGTTTGCGCTGTCTCTTGAGGCTCATTCAGCAAATGTTAACGTTTCTGCTACCGTCATTAGATGCACTTTTTATTTATAATAGAAAATTTGTTAAATAAAATTAGTTAAATTGAATTCTGACCATTTATTAAATGGATGCATATCGCCTCTCAACTTTTATACCAGATATTTAGATTTCAATATACTGTAATACGTCATGCTCAGGGTAATTACCGTTTCTGCCACCACCCCAAAGTTTCAATCAATTTCTGCACAACTATAGCTATAGCCATTTTTGTGTTTGGCAAAGTTGATTAGATGAGACAGCCACTTTAAATCTGATTGTTTCCAAAGGTTTTATCTGGAGGCAGATGCACATTTAATGATCATTTCCTGAAAGTTTTATTAAAATCCATCCAGTAGTTGATGAGAAATGTTGGTAAAAGCAAGACTTGGCTCAATAATTCATGGTAACATTTCAAACAAAAATACTGTGATGTTTGTTAGCACTCTGAATGTGTGTTGGGAATTAGTCTCAGCTACTACCACATAAGACTTTGCCACAACGTCTATAAAACTGACAGACATTTTTATGTTTAGGGTTAGTTGGCTGTAGTGGCCATCTTGAATTGGTTTGACCAAAATGTTAATCAGTTGCAGATCCATTGATTACTTTCTGTAAGTTTCATTGCTTGGTGGTTTAGTAGATAGTTGTACCCGTCAGACTCCCCACACCACACCACCATGCACACACAAGTTTGTCTTTCTATCTTTACAGGGACTTTGCATTGCCTTCCATTCTTTTCTATAGCCTAACTCGGACCCTTACTCTAAACCTAACCATTACCTAACCCTAAACAAAACACATCCTCAATTCACACCTTAGTCCTAAATATCAGAGTTCATGCTCAATCATCCAGGTACAAAATCCAATAATGGTCAATCAGGTCACCTGGACCATTTCTGTTTTGTGAAAAGATGTTTTGCCCTCTATCCAGAGGGCTTCATCAGTCTGAGGAGTCCCAAGTAAACTGTTTTCCCCACTGAGCAGTACATTATTTTAGTGGACCAACCAGTTTGCTGGTGATAAGATGGGTTCTGGGGGCTGTCATGTCCCCCGTCGACTCCTCCCAAGCAGGCAGCCATTGCCAAAGTGGTTCAAGACATCAAAGTTCATGCTCAATCATCCAGGTACAAAATTCAATAATGGTAAATCAGGTCATGTGGACGGTTTCTTTCCACAAAAAAGAAACTGTCCAGATTACCCGATTGACCATTATTGGTCTTAGTCGTAAACCTAACCCCTAACCCACCAACGGCACTTCTTCTTACTGGGCCCGGGCTTTGAGCCCCATAAGGAGCAGTTGGTCCTCACAATATAGTATGTGTTGGAAAAATGGGCCTTACAAGGTAACAAATACAAAGACACACACACACACGTCTTGGCCCTATTGCGATGGGGGATAATAAATGTATAATATAAGGGTACGTCAATGCTGCTGCATTTGAAAGACATCATTTGAGTAAAAATTATAAATTTTGCAACTAGGAAAAATAATGTTTTATAAAGTTGAGTTATGAGGACCAGTTTTAAAGAAGTCTCCTGTTTATTTTATTATTTTTTTACACAGTAGTACATCAAATATGCACTAAGTGCATTTTGTAAAGTTTTACAAAGACGTATGCTCTGCTGCTGACTTCGCTGTGCTTTCTGACTGGAACATGTGCTGAAGGAAAGCGAGGAGGTGCTGAACAAAGTTTCCAGATGAACAGACAGACAAGGAACGATATCTGGGATGAGCTCTGAGACACAGAACAGAAGGTGGAGCTGAGGAATACTAAGACACGATTTCAAACCCTGAAAGACAGCGCTGCTGGTCAGAAACTCAAAAAAGCTAAACATATTCCGTTTGTTCATAATGTTTGTAAAGTAATTCCACTTTAATTTCTGCCTCTGTGTCATTTGCATTTACATTTGTGAGTGTCAGACCAACAGGTGGTGAAAACAAAGTGACACAGCCCAGCTGGTCACCACAGCAGCGCCACAAGAAAAGTTGCTGGAGGCCGACAGCAAAATCAGACCTCTAGGGGAACTGTATATGCAATAATCAGACTTGGATATTTAAAATATTTTGAAGCAGCAGAGCTGGCAGCTCTAGTTTCCAGCAGAGGACGTGTGGAACAGGAAACAAACGGCAGGATAATTCATAGACTGAGCTCCGGCTTCTGATTAAGGAACGTTACGAGCTCCAGAATGTGACAAGAGCTTTATTATTTTGATAAATGGTTGGAAATATTCAGAACTGTGTTCCGTATTTGAAGGGGGTCTGCTTTCTAACAAAAACTAAACACTGAGCTGAGTCACATTATTTACTGTGGAAAACTTGGCAATGAAGTCAAAAATATTTAAACGGTGGGTAAA